GGGGAGGGGGCGGGGGGCTCCTAGAGGTGATGACTCCTTCTCTGAGCGGCACAAGTGAAACCTGGAACTTTAAGAGCTAGGTCTCTTCTCCCTTTCTCTGTACCTGGCCTTTGTCTTTACATGGGCCCTACAAGGGCACTGCCACCTGCTGGCCCAGCCTCGCCTTCCCACCCAGCTAGAGGCATCCTGTGGCCATGGTGCCCCCTGGTGAGCTGACTGCAGAGAGGCCTTTTCTATTGGTTCTGGGCACTCCTATTTCAGTTCAGCCCCCTGAAATAACTTAGTAAACAGGGCTGAAGGGGCTGCAGATACTATGAGGGTGGAACAGCATGTTAGGGGAAGCCCTGCTCTGGTCTCCCCATTCCACCTCCATTTCTGCACTATCCCCACCACCTTCCCTAAGGAAGGTGTTTACAAATAGGGGTCCCCCCACTCTTTCCTAGAGGAAGCCAAGCCTAGCATGTCTGGGAGGGGGCGGGGGTGCTTTTCATGTGCACAAAATGGTACCAGATCTGTGGATAGAACTGAAGTGTTTTAAGATGGTTGAAATCTTAGGGGTACAGCCAACCCTAAAAGGTTTTCCCATTATGAGAATGGGGAATTAGTCACGAACCTGTGAGGGCCACCCAGGGCCAAAGCTGGTATCTGCTGAGGACCCACCTCTTCGAGGTCCACTCAGGGAAGACTTTGGGGATTCCGGGAAATAGGAAATGTCAGTGGCAAACCTCATGGTGCCATGGAGGCAGCTCAGGATCTAGAGCTGGCTCCAGGCCTCCTCACTCCTCTCCTGTCATCATCTACTATGGGAAGTTCCCACCCCTTTCTTGTCTTCATGTCCCAATCTATAAAACAAGAGCCACTATGAGGCCATCTCAAGGTGGCAGAGCACCTGCTTCATCCTCAGATCAACTCTATGAGGTGGGTAGTACCGTCCCATCTTGTGGATTAGAAAACTAAGGCTCGAAGAGGTTATATAACTTGTCCAAGGTCTCAAGCTGGTAAGAGATCGAACGAGGTCTCCTTCTAAAACTTATGACCACAGCCCGACCGGCGTGGCTCAGTGGTTGAGCATTGACCTGTGATCCAGGAGATCGCCATTCAGCTTGGACAGAGGGTCTCTTTGGCCTGTGGGGTGTGGACAGCGGTTTCTCGGTGCTGTTCCATGTCCTGTGGTACTTCATACCAGATGTGCTTCCTGCAGCTCCTCCCAGCATGCTCTGGGCGAGCCTGCTCCCCCCCACACGTGTTCAAACACACACACACTTCTCTCTCTGTCACCTCACAAACATACTCACCTCACACACCCGCCTACCCCTCACTCTACACAGACCCACCTGCCAGACACATAATCATTCATGCTCACACACAACTCGCGCACCTCACTCTTACGCCTGCCTTCAACTCGTACACACTTCAAACACACCTCACACCTGTGTGCACACCTGCTCACACACCTGGCACACGCGCACACGCCTCACACTCACTGGGAGCAGGTGCCTGTCCAGCGTGGGAGGGGAGCTGCTGCGGGTTAGGCGGTGCTCAGCGTAGGATCCACGCCGTTGCTGCCTTGTGTTCACACGCAGCCGTCTCCCCCAGAACCCCGTGGCACAGCTTGCCACGAAGGCCAGAGGGACCTCGTGCACCCTCGGATCCCCGCGAGCCCGGGAAAGGTGGGTCTGGTTTACAGATGAGGAAACTGAGACCCAAAGGAGCCCTGTGACTCCCACACATCACAGGCTTCGTAAGGGAGCCACCCGTTCCTTCCCCAATGCCTCGCCCGGCCGGAGCCGGCCCTCGATGCGCGGGTGCGCTGAGTACACGAGTGGGGGCTCCTCAGGGCAGTGGCTCCCCCCCCCCAGCCGCAAGGCCGCTGGGACGTGCAGCGCCTGACTGTTTAGTCAGCGGCCCTGGCCCCTTTGCCCTGAGACTGTCAGTAAAAAAATGACGGTGTGAATGAATCAGAATTATACTTTTTTCTGTCAGGCAAAAGATATATTTTTTGGCATGCCACAGAATTTTAGTAATTAATATGCCGTGAGGTGGAACAGGTAGAAAATCGCTGCTCTAGAGGAAGAAAGGGGAAGGACCCTAGCACCTCAGACCTAGGTCTTCATTTGGCCAGAGTGGCTCTCCTGGCTCCCGAGGCAGCTTCCTTCCTTCCTTCCTTCCTTCCTTCCTTCCTTCCTTCCTTCCTTCCTTCCTTCCTTCCTTCCCTCCCTCCCTCCCTCCCTCTCTTGCAGAACCTCACATCCCTCTACCTCCTCCAAAGGAAGAAATAGTTGGCAGATGACTTCTAGTGGTGGGAGGGAGAGGGGCCTGGAGGCCTGGGAAGTGTTTGATGACTTGATGCCTGAGTCCACTTTAGAGCAGATGGTTTTTCTGGGTGGTTCAGAGAGGACTCTGTCTCCCTCAGGTGCATGGGGCCACCCTGGCCCTCCCTCACGCTCC